GTTGGCCTAGATCTAGGCTATAACGGTGAACGCGCACCGGGTGAGAATAGCCAAAAGACTCGCCTGCACTATTCTCACCCCGGGTGAGAAGAGAGGTGGCCAATAATAATAATAATAATAGCATAATAATTGTATTTGTATAATAATAGCACATTTATCATGTGTAACCATGTTCTCTAGTCTATAGAGCCTACAGCATGTTCAGGACTCACAACTGGAAAAAGGAGCAAGCATACATAGTAAAGATCCACAGTAGATCTAGTGACCAGTGCCTACTTTTTACTCAATCTTGGTATTATTTTACTTTAAGTCAGTATCGTCTCATGCTCAAGTATTGTAAAGTCCTTTTCTCGTTCATTCTTATCCGTTTAACACTTACACAAATACTGACCTTATATTTGCCGCAAAGTATTTGTTTTTATTTGAAATCCCCCCCCCCGGTTTCCAGTTTTATTTTTTTTGGGGGGGATATTGCATAACTGCATCAGGGCATATTATGAGCACGCGGGACACACATTAATACATTTTCAGTTGGTGGGAAATTTTGAATTGTGTGTGTGTCAGTCTGCTTGAGTTTGTGGCCTTCTTCTAGAACCGCCTGCGTTGGTTCGTAATCGAGGCATACGTCTCATTCAAAATACGCCAAGTTGGTAGCTCTAGATCATGAGAGGTTCGTCCAATGAAATTATAGAAGAAATTGACCCACTTAGACATGAGGAACTCGAAAGGATAGTCAGGAAACAAGCTTGTTTGATAGTTTTGAATACCATTGTGCAGGTACAAAGAACAATTTGAGTGCAAAACATTCGGAAATTGACCTATATTATCCCCTTTCGAACCTCAGGTCATTCATAACAACAAGAGCGTCCAGAAAGGTTGAAAGGTTTATAATTCGAATGGGCGTAACTTCTCGTAATGTCTTATCAGCTTGTGACTGTGAGAGGGGGTTATTCATGTGTTTGTAACACTTTATAAATAGAAAGCTATGAAAGATAGAGCAATATTTTCATCATCGATTATTACACTCCCACGGTATTCATGGCGAAAACACACGTTTCCCGGCGCGCGCTGTACACCAACAACAGTACACACTGAGTGACCCTGGCGGCCTGCCCGGCACGTCCGACGTAAGCTGTTGATGATAAGATTCGCATCTCAGCACAGACGCAGGACAAGAGTTAAAGCCTGCTGTAAGCCGGAATCCTGTCATAACAGTAACCGTTTAGTATAAATTATAAAAGTGGGGCCCACTGGACAGACCAGATTTCTAGATTCTCAGGATTGTTTTGATGGCTGGTCGGGTGGACAATATATTAATATTATATTCAATAACAGCGTTAAAAGAGCAGAGCTACCACCCCAAATTTAAGAAAACTGTAATAAAAACTTTCATCTGCTAACCTTGGAAAGAGTCGCTGATAGAAAATAAAGCAACGAGCATACAAATATTACAGCCAGAACCCAGCGTCTCCTCAAGACGCGAGGGTACAACATTGGTATCCTAGAACTTTTCTGCTCTCCGCCATGAAAACAAACATTTATCACACAGAGCAATTGGTAAACAAAGATAGTCGTTACAGTTTCGAAATAAAGACGTGTTTTATCACTGGTTACGATCTAGGCCTATTAAAACCAAAACACATGATATATCTATCTTTGATTTATATCGAATTACATTTGTTCATAAAGTACATTAAAAAATTCCTAACCTAGTCTTTTATTCTTCATATAGTTCGAAACTATTGCATAGCTTTTTAAAATTCCGTATCAACTTTTTGTTTAAATAGTTCATTTCTTAAATTAGTTAGTGTGAACTGTCTTCTTCACTTGTAAAATGTTTTCTCCGTTTTGAATTTTTCTTGTCAAAATCAATTAATCAAGTTTATCCCTTTATATGCCCTGTTAGTATTTTGTTATCTTGAAAAGGAGAGAAATTCTCCCCCAAGATAGTGCACGTATCAATAAAGTCTAGCGATTTTTCAACATATTCTCGTACGGAGATTTGTATGTTTATGATAACAATTTCAATAGTAACAAGCGAACTCTTGGTCCAGTCTCAAGTTATTTTTCAATCATTTTCACTTCACTCTGCAGACATAAATGAAGAGCCAGTTTGAAAAGTGGAGTTAAAGCTGCGTTTCTTTGGAGGCATTAATAAGTTTGCTAGTTCTAACTAGCTGGTGGTCAAGTTTCTCAACCTACTATTGTTGTAGTATAGTGTAGTGTAGTCTGAGAGAGGTTCTTGTGTGTGTGCTATACTGTAAATGCTCTGCTATGTCATGATATTGTTATAATATTGTTGACACTGAAGTGTTTTCAAGTCATGCACTATTGCCATTGACTCTGAGAATATAAGCCACTACAAACTTGGTTGTTTGTCAAGCTAAAATTTTAAAAAATGCTCAAAACTGAACTCTTTACAAAGCCATCTGCGTAAAATTTCGTCATGGATACTGATCATTGGCTTACATCCAAAGTTGATGCTGAGGAACCTATTAGAGCCTATGGAGCTACAGCCTCCAATGCGTCTCCCACTGGAAAAATACGAAATCAGGAAGATGTGGACATTCAGCTGTATGATTTTAAAGTATGTAAATAATGTAGATGCAACCATTAAAACAATTGGGAGGAGTTTCTGCAGAGGGCCGGCACTTACTACTCAGTTACTGAGTCACTACCGTGACAAGGTCCACTGAGCTAAGAGTTATGGTTAGGGAATACCACGCTCAAAATATCCCCTCTTTTTTGTGTTTTGTTTGTCAGCTGGCCCTCTACGGAACTCCTTCCAAAAACTTGGTTAACAATTTGAAGATGAAGGAAGCCCTACTGCCTACTGTGTGTATTGTAAGGTGTTTCTATTGAATTGAGGGTTGAGTTGAATGTAAGATTGAAAACCTTTTAAAATTGGTTTGTTACTGCGATATAGGTGGAATAACAGTATGATGGAAATCAGTACAGTCGAAATAGTGTAAGATGGCCTTTCATTGTTGAAGAGAAATATATACATGGCCGTTTTAGACTAGACAGGTGGCTGTCTTTGGCCTACCATTATATTATAGCCTGTGGCTGTGCGTACAGCTCTCCCGGGGGCATAGCCACAAGGCTATGCGTACGGCCCTCTAAAGTTAGTTAGAAAGCCTTGATAGTCGCTCAGCTGGACCGCGTCACTTTATCGATAGATCAATATCTTTGCCAAGAGACGCTGTACGAGGTCCGGATAACTTGCAAAGTCATTGGTCACTATTCATTACTTTGACCTGTAATTTACTATATGATCACTTTCCATATATATAAAAAATACTGAAACTGTTGGCATAGGAGCCACTTCGATCATTATAATGTTAAAAATTTGCAAGGAAGAACATAGGAAGTGGCCAATTGTACGATTGTCTCATATAATGTACAAATGCCTTGAGAGCAGGTTTGACTGTACATTCAAAAGTGTGTATTGATCATATGATAAGGTAAAGTAAACATAGAATATAATTAACCCTTGCCTTGACATCTGCGATAAAGATTATATGTCGCACTGTAGAGCTGTGCCCATTCGATTTCACTTCTATTCGACATTCATGATTTTTACGCTATTCACAGCAATTTGAAGTGTGGCAGAGCCATTCGAATGCTGTGTGATTTTTTAAAATATTGGATTTCTTCTAATTTATCTCAACCCGTAGTAAAATTAAAGTGTAATAAAATATCTTAATTCACTGAGGTAAATTCAATGTTACGTTCAAGTTGATGATTACTGGACCGAGTGATAAGAGGAGCCAGTAAGAGTTATAAAACGTGCCTCTAAAAGGCACTTGTGATGCCATTAATAACTCAACAGATCGTCGCTTCGGAGATTTTGTGTACATTGCATACTGAGCTCCCTTTGCACAAAATTCGACATTCGAAGGGATTTGGGTATCCAGAACCGCTTCGAAGCGCAGCGGCGAAATGGGAACCCACCAGCGTTTCGAAGCACAGCGAATGTTTTTTTGTATACTGGCATACTTAGCTCCCCGTGCCCAATGGGAATTCAAAGTGTAAGGCTGTATGGAGACCCACCAGCGCTTCGAAGTGCAGCAAATAGTTTTTTTGTATACTGGCATACTTATCTCCCCTTGGACAATGTGATTTAAAGTATTAGGCTTACATATATATGACCGTGGCTTTGAAGCGCAGCGAATGTTGGTTAAAAAATTTTTTTTATGATTGTAGGCTGCCAGACTTACTTAGCTCCCCTCGACATTCGAAGGACAAGGTTATAAATGTTGTGATGTGATGTCATCGCATCGCTGTGTGTCGTGCGTGATTAGAGCCAGTCGTGTTTTAACCACAAAAAGAAAAGAATCAGCCAGCCACTCGTGGGGAGATCATCCAAAAGGTTTTTATACACAGTTTGTGGGTAGGCCTAGGTGGGGTGGGGGGATGGCTGGCGGGGACGAATGAAATGAGAGGTTAACAGGGTTGGGTTGATTTAAATCAGTTGATTTTTAAAATTTAAATCAACTTGATTTTTAAAATAATAATCAGTGATTTAAATCACTTTTTAAAAAATTTATTTTTATCGGTTTTTACACATTTCAACATTCAGAATTCCTTTCCTTGGTTTCATAAAACAGATATAAGGTTTAGTAGACTAATATAATCATGCTTAAAAGTCTGCTTTCCCCCCTTTCACTGTAAAATAATACAGTATTCAATTTACTTTTTTTTCCATAATTGAAATCAGAGCTGGGTCGATTTAAATCAGTTGAGTTTTTTAAATTTTAATCAACTTGATTATAAAAATAAAAATCAGTGATTTAAATCACTTTTCAAAAAAATGTATTCAGTTTTTACATATTTAAACTTTCAGAATTCCTTTCCTTGGTTTTATTAAACAGATATAAGGTTTAGTAGACTAATATAATCATGCTTAAAAGTCTGCTGTAAAATAATACAGTTCTCAATTTACTTTTTTTTCATAATTGAAAACCAGGGTTGGGTTGATTTAAATCAGGTCGATTTAAATCCGTTGATTTTTTAAAATTTAAATCAACTTGATTTAAAAAATAAAACTCAGTGATTTAAATCACTTTTAAAAAATGTTTTCTGTTTTTACATCTTTAAACATTCAGAATTCCTTTCCTTGGTTTTATAAAACAGATATATAAGGTTTAGTAGACTAAAATTGCTTAAAAGTCTGCTTTCCCCCCTGTCACTGTAAGTAGTAAAATAATACAGTATTCAATTTACTTTTTTTTTCATAATTGAAATTAACATTTTATTTTTATTTTTTTAGACAAACACAAGCGCGTGCTCACACACACACTGTAATAAAATGCAAGTTTATCTTTGCATAATTACCCCCTCCCCCCCCCCCCCCCCCCCACTTCCTTTTAGACTGACATTTTCTTCATTTTTTGTCTGTAGCCATAATTCACTGATATAGCAGATTAAGGCTTTCTAAAATTGCAGTTGCTTTAATTAATCATTAGTTAAAATAAAAGACAATGCATTTTGCACTAAAAGAACATACTTTTAGCCACCAAAAATCCCAAACTGTCGACATTTTTTTAAAAATAAAAAATAAAAAAATCTGATTTAAAATTTAAAAAATCTGATTTAAATTTTGAAAATCGATTTTTTTAATTTTGATTTTAAAAATTAAAAAAATCACCAACCCTGGAGGTTAAAAGTATTATAAGTGGTGCTGGCTAGGCTAAAAATATACATTACATGTCTTGTTGTAACACTCACATTGCCCTTTGTCTCAGTCCCTATTCCAATGTCTGTGCTCTCTCTTACTTCATGGCTGCATTGTAGATTGTTGGAGCACATTCTGTTCTCTTGCCTTTGTCCATTTCAGGTCGGTTCTTTGGTCGCTGCACTGTTGTGTAATTTTAGAGATTGCGTTGTCCTTCAGACTGCAAATATTTGCATTCCGTTTTTGTTTTATTTGTTCAAAATTGTATGCATAATTTGTAGTGTTATTATTAGGCCTATTATGCTGCCAACAGAATTCTCTTGAACTTTTTAACCAATTATTGCCTGAAGTCTTTGCCTATACGTAAATCTGTGCAGTTAAATTTAGTGTGATTTGATCAAATTGTACCATGTCAAGCAAACCCACGGAAAGTATTGTATGTTTGCAAGTTATTTGAGAAGATTAACAAAATAAAGCTACCAATCAAAGAACCTCCAAAAAGACAATATGACCTTGCAAACAGCAGTGTTGTGCGACGCTGCGACAGTGTGCGTGTGTGTTAGATCTATCGTTCGACCCTTTTTTTCCAAGCAGACACTAGATATGAGTGGTCGCCTGTTTCTATCATTCCCCCTCTCCCTTCCCCCTCTTCAACAGTCGCTTGTTTGTTATTTAAAAAACCCCAACCCAAACAGACAAACCAATGTTTCATCACTGCACACGATGCGCAAGCCGTGGATGCTATACGTAGAGAGGCAGACACACATTGAGCTGAGAATCTCTGGATGAATAGTGCTGTGACTGTAAATAATGAATATTCAATAAAGAATGCTGCTGATAGACTCATCGTATTAGGGCTCACCTTTGGCCTACAAATACATGTATACAAGAAAAAAACTATTTCACATGGTATTCGAATAGCACGAACAGTGACATCGCGCTTCAAAGCTTCGATAATTTTTTTAGAACTCAAAATCGCACAGCACTATTGCCCAGCACTTTTACTTTTGTTGCATGGCTGTTACAGAGTAGATCAAAATCTAGCTTTAAAACTTCCTCAGATGATTATTTTCGTCTAAGATAGTCTTTATCCCGTCTCATTACTTATCCCCTCTTGTGTCACATGTCAAGTGTCACTGTGTGGGAATAATTAGATCGCAGAGTCCTGTAGTATGTGCCTGTTGTGTACACTTCTGTGAAAGTTATCAGAATGGTCATCACTACGTTAAAGTCTACTTTTGAGCTAGTCATTACTTTAATTCATATATATGGCCTTAATAATGCAATTGCAAGCGCTGTAAAACCTTACTAAAACAAAGCTTTAGTTCAGATGTGTGTAGATCCTAACTGAATTTCACTGCTGACACCTGTTTTCACCAAGAAATTTTTTATTGACATACTATGTTGAAGTAAGATATTTTAATGTCTAAAGCCATGCATCATAACAACTTAAAACATCGTCCATTACTGAGTAGAAATAATTAACATCATTTTTCATTATTTGATCTTTTGAAATAATAAATAAAGGATTTTTTTGGTGTAAATGCCCCAAAGAAACACATGAGGGTGCTCTGTTTTCTTTTCATGGTTTCGTAACTTCATCTGATATTACGAGTTTTATATGCTAAGCATATATGACGATCTTATGTCATATTCCTGAGATTTCTGTATTCTTTCTTTCTTTTTTATTCACAGGGTGTGAACTTCAAGGATCCTTTAATACCTCAGAGCCATTCAGTTCCTATCAAGTAAGGCTCTATCATGCATTGTATTATATCATTCTTTGTATAATAATGAAATTATAATGGGAATTGTAAAAATAAACTGGTTTATCTATTACAGAGTAGTCTTTTACTCAAGACCCTTCGTAATTTGCAATATTTTGTAAATTATTTTAATTTATATATATATATAAGTATTTAAAGCTAGGACAGTGTACTTTGTTTTATGATTGGTTTATTTTTGTATTTTGAAAAGTGTATTGTGAGATCTTGTGCTGTGGTTTTTATTTTATTCATTATACTTTCCTTACAATAAGTCAACACAAAACTAAGAAAACTGATACAATCATTCTTAGTATTTTTTTTGGTGAATGACATGAATTATTTTGTTGTCCGCTGACTGGGTTTCGAAATTGCTCTATTAATTATTTTTTAAAATTTAATTGTTGTATTTTCAGTGAAGAAAGAAAACCAGCTCAGCGGCCGACTTCCTTGCTGAGTAGTCAGTCTAGTGATCACCACAGTGTTGCATACTCGGATACGTCCTTCAATCAACATGACAGGTGTGTCTTTTTTTTCAGGTGTTTGTAAATCTGTTTGTATTTGTGGTGGCTGGAGGGCGTCTTTGACTACTACAGTCAAACCTGCTGTAACGGCCACCTGTACAAGACAATCACCTATACAAACAACCATTCCTCCCTTCCCCCCCCCTCCCCTTTTATGTTCTTTAATGTTATAAACACACTATCTAAGATGTCCACCTGTCAAAGGTAACCGCTTTCCTTTGACAATAGATGGGCATCTTGGACAATTTTGACTGTGTTAATGCGTTCATTGTTGGATATTTTGGTACCATTTGCTCTCTAGACACTTACTGTTTATTGATTGTAAAATGATTGTCAAGGCCTATCTTCTTTAACTCAGCATGACAAATTGGTGACACCATTTTAATACTTGCTGTAAGAGAAAATTTGATGTCACACATGTTTAAATGCTTCTTTTATCCTTTTTTAGATTTCTTCTTTGTCAATTGATAGTATTTCTAAATTGACATTACAGCTGATTCATGCCAGGCCTGTTTCACTGTGGTATACATCCTTCCAATCTGCAGTGTCTCCTGCCTCTCTGTCAACTGCATGTCCGATTTGAAAAGATTCTTAATCGTTTAGAGTATTTTGACTGACCCAATATATATGGGTATCAATTGAAATTTTGATTTGCACACAGATAATTTGACATGACTATGCCTGTTAATACTGTTACTCTTTCTATTCAAACTGCCCTGGTGTCCTTCATGTCGCAAAATGTTCACCTGACTCTGTGAGCCTTTTGTCCTTAATTTCTCTGGAGAATTTTATGTTTCTTTATTTTCTTCACCTCTATGATCAGGAGAGTGGGAAATCTGAGAAAGTGCTCAAATTTTTCCGCCTACCATAATAATTGCATTTATATTTTGCATATCCACGCTCAAGAGCATGCTCTATGCACTTTACAACTATTATTACCCCAATTGACCCTCTGAGAACACTCAGAAACATTCTCGGCTTCCGCAAAAGCATACCGTGCAAGCTGCGGATTTCACGCGCTCAAACACTATCAAACTGACAAGATGGTTCACTGTCTATAGCCGGGTACCCATTTACACCTGGGTGAAGTAAGGAAAATTTGTGCAAAGTGCCTTTCCCAAGGACACAACGTCGAGTCCTTGGTGGGATTCGAACCTACGACCTTACGGTTGCGAGTCCGAGAGCCTAACCACTTGGCCACCAATGCCACGTCTTACCATCTTCGTAAGCCTGACATCATACCAGGTTCTTTGGCTGGATGTTCAATCTCCTTTCCTCTACGTCACGATAGTTTTGAAACATAGTCTTTTTTCATATTATTGGTACACCATTTAAGCACATGTAGACCCTGAACATAAAACATGTCTATACTATGAAACTATGAAAATGTTTGACATTTGAAACTCTCTTTTTCTCCCAAATTTTACAGCTGGTTGAGGCATCCCAAGGTGAGAGAGAATTGGAAAATTGTTCTGGCATCTGCTTTTTTGTCAGTACTGGGAATAGGTAAGTTTTTTAAAGCAATGTTGATGTGAATGATTGAATTACTCAATAGATCAATGCTTAAATGTATGTTGTTGAATCTATTTGTGTTCTTGGTTACTTAATAAATATTTTACAAAAAGGAAGCTGAAATTTGTCCTTTGTCAGAAGTGCAGTAAAAAAAAAGTTTGTGAAGAAATGGAAAATATTGTTTTTATTGATAGATGAAATAACTCATAGTCATTATCCCTTGTCGTGTAAATTTGAAAGTGACATATATGAGACATTCCTCATGATTACTGTTCTGAAGCAGTTTATTGCCATGGAATGTTCTAATAAAAGTTCTATAATTCTATTTACCCACGTTTTTCTTTAAACCTGTATATGTGCCTTCCCTTTAGCATTATTACATACTCTTGTCTGGCAAAGAAAATATTGATCGGTACTTTTCACACCACTTTCTGTGCTCTTGTTACTTGTTTTTTCACTACCTTCATTGTTTTGTGTTTTTTTTGGGTGTTTTTTAGTTTAGTTGTTTTGTTGTTGGGGGGGGGGGGGGGGTTCCTTTGCTCTTTTACTTTGTCACAAATGTTCTTGACTTGAAGAATTTGATAACATCGTGGGAAACTGATTATTTTATGTTGTGTGTATTTCAGCTCTGGTTTTGAGTGGGATCATACTGGCGTTCACCCCTGCTCGAGGTAAGATCTTTATTTTAACCTTTCAGTTATTCTTTGTGTGTGTGTGTTTGTGTGTGTATTCTTTGTGCTAGTGATTTTCCACTTCATTATTGAGGCTTATTGTATAGGTTTAAGTTTGGTTCTGTTTTTGGGTTAGTTTCTTTCTAAATCTCTCTTTTTTTTTTAAGGGGGGGGGGGGGGCTGTATTTATGGAGAGGAAGATTTGGTGTTTGTGATAAAGAGAAACGAAAGGATATATCTACCCCAAAAAACTTATGACAAGTAATAGTAAAACAAGGAACAAAAATAGCAAGTAGATAGCACCGCTGGTAGCTCTTAGGCGCCCTTTTTTTTCTCCCTCTGATGTTTCTGTCTGCCCTTCCTACTTTTTCCCCCAGTGTGAAATGGCCGTTATTGTGTCAGTGTACTTCACTTAGCTCAAATGAACAAACATTTTTATACAAAAGAAGTGAGTGTATCATTTGTTTCATGTTTCAGGCTGGCATTGTTTGATCTTTTGCTTCATTGGTCTCCTGTGTGTGATACCAGGAGGTGAGTATCAGCTGTAGTGTATCTAACCTAATGATAAAGCCTGCCTCCTAAATTACCTGAATTGTGTGGAAGGGGGCATAAAAAATCATTCTGGGAAGGAGTATTGTCTACTTTGTTACATCAAGCAACAGAAGCGAGGACATGCTCAAGCTCTTTTCTGAGATCTGAGAGGAACTTCACCATTTTGGTTTTTTTCATTAATAACCAATATGTACAAATATTTGCCCTCACACCCTGATAAAATGTCATATAGTCTCTTTCTTTCTTCTTTTTTGCTTACATACTGCAAATCCTAAGGATTTTAAGGAAAGAATGTATGTGCTGTGAAGCACATTTCGTTCTACTGGATGTTTAAAAAAACCTTATGTATATGAGCAATTGCCAAAACGTGAGACTCTCTTGAGACTCAGTGGTGAAAAAAAAATTTTCTTACTAATTTGACTCTCTTTTCTGTCAGTCACAGATTGACATTTAGTGCTCATATTCCTAGAGTATCAGAGCAAGGAGATGTACGGTTTTGGAGATATGGGTCTATTGGTTTGGCAACCACTGAATTTCTTGTATGTAACAGTGATGACAAAAACAGATAAGCAGCATGGCAAATTATAGACTTTAAATTCCATTTGTTTAGTAAACAAACACTTTGTACACTATGAACTCCATTCATAATGGTAATATGAATGACAAGCTTTGTAACAATGACGCAGTGCACAGAACATGTCATCATTGTTATGTACAAGAAAGGATACACATTGGACATTATCATTGACAACACATCACAATAGTGAAAGGCTGTACAAATACAGTTATCAAAGCCTCAGTACCAGAAAAACACATGTGTAAAACAATTTTTTAACTAATATGAGGCAAAAGCACAAAATCAATGGAGCTGACTTGTACATAACAGTGATGACAAACATGACTTGTACATAACAATGATGACACAATGTACAGGAAAAGACAAAGGTCTTGCCTCCAGAGATAAAAGCGCACTTTAAGAATTAAAAAAACCCAGGAGAGGTTTCTTTTGCTTTGAAACAGATATCAGGTCATATCAAAGACAGTGGACAATCACAATTATGTGGCTAATTATGACAAACAGTACTCGTACATAACAGTGATGACAAAACATACTGGGAAAAGGTAAAATCATGCCTACAAAGACCAAATTTGCACTAAGAGATACACAGATCAATAAAGGCGTATTTTGCTTCTAAATGAATCTTGCATGTATGAAATATATGTTGAAAATTTATTGATATTAGCAATTATGAAAAATATTACTTGTACATAACAATGATGACACAATGTATTGGAAAAAGGTATATCATACCAAGAAAGAACAAATGTGTATTTTTGAGTTAGACAGATAAACAAGGACATGTTTGTTTATTTGTTTGAGTAAAGAGAGCACACATTACTTTAAAAATGTTTGCTCTTAGGACAATGTAATTTCTTGTACGTTAGTCAGTCTTGTATGGCTGCATGACGACAACCCAAACGTCATCACTGAGCACAAAAGCTAAATCTATAACCACAGAAATGATCCATCTCTCGAAGTTTGTTCACACATCACACTCTTGTTCCAGGAATCCAGTGTAAACAAGGCAATTTCACTCAAATATTCAACAGAGTAGCCTAAAAACACGCAAAACAGCCCAGTACGTCACATTCAACGCAAAATTCTTGTGCGTCACCGGACGCTGAAGGCAATGACTACTTTCGTTTTTCTGTTTCCCCCGTTGCTTCCGTTGTTCTGGGGACGCGGGTAAGGGGAAGTCACTCAAGAAAACAATTATACCCGGGCACTTTTGATGACCCGTTCAAAACAAAAGTGGGCGAAATTCGGACTTCCGGCACGTCGCAAATTGACGACAATAACGGCGAATGTTAAACAGCCGACCGAAATCGTAGATCTAGGAACCCGATGTTCCTTTCGCGCATCGCGGCTTTTGAAGTATTGAATAAACGACGATAGGCAAAGAGATTTAACCAGCTACGGTGATTCTACTGAAAAATAATGGTGTTTTCTGAAACACCTAGTCCGTGACGACACGACAGACGCACAAGTAATCCGAATTGTTCGTCTATTTGCAAACAAATAAACCGATTTCTTGAGCAAGTTAACCTTTCTCAATGACAAATAACATAGGATCAAAGCACACGTAAAAAAAACACATCCAAAAATACTAAATTTTGGACATTCTTGGAAGTTTGCATTGGTGTGCTCAAAATGACACTCCAGGAATCACTAAAAAACGAACATTTTAGGCACAAAATTTACAAACTCAAGATTGTAAAGCTGACAAGGGGTCTGAAACTGCTAATGCAGGTTCTACATCCTATATTTGACGTGTGTATAAGTTTTGGAGGAATAAATACTAATGCATCACATTTTATGCACACTAATGTGAGATGTGTGTGTTTTTCCCCACGTTTTGGCAATGGCTCATATATGTATCTTTCTTGTTCCAGGTTACCACTTTGTGTACATTTTCTGTATTTCGTTCTACTGGATGTTTTTAAAAAAAGTTATGTATATGTTTCTTTCTTGTTCTAGGTTACCACTTTGTGTACATTTTCTGTATTTCGTTCTACTTGATGTTTAAAAAAAAGGTTATGTATATATATATGTATCTTTCTTGTTCCAGGTTACCACTTTGTGTACATTTACTGTGCAGCCTTGGGCCGTCCTGGCTACCAGTTTGAAAACCTGCCAGTGTTACGCTGAGTCTGTGATCTTCACACTCCCTCTGTGGCCTTGCCGAAGGGACAATTCGTTGATGGAGGGCATTGATCCTTCCTCCTTTCATTTGAACAACGCGCCATTGATTGAAGGAGCTGTCCTGATTTAATTCAATCGCCCTTCACCGTTCGAAAAGGGTTTGAGATGGGGAAACATTTCTGTCTTATCACAGACTTTCACACTGACCATCACCACTTTCTTCATAAATACATTCCTTGATTTTGTGAACTAATGTGTCCATGCAGCAAAAATGAATGTATACATGCTGTCAAAGTGAATGTGTACATGCAGGCAAAGTGATATAACTCAAACTTTAAGCCTTGTCAGTTAAGACAAGTTCTACTTTTTTCTTTCTGAACAAGTGTTCCCATCCTTCATTTTTTTCTTTGTTTACAGAGCTGTCGAATCATTAAAATATTTATGGGTTTCTCTTTGACAAAAACAAAGTTTTAAAACAAATAAATCATACTTAAGCACTGTTTGCACCTAAATGTGAAGTATTAAACTTGTACTTAAATGATGCGGTTAATGTGATTGAGGCACCAATGGAATTTCATAATCAGCTACCCATGTTAATTCATGTTAGCTTCTGCAATGCTTGGAATTGAATTTTCTTTAATTGCCTATCTGTGTGCTTTGTTACATTAAGAAAAAAGAAATGTCACATAAGTGTTAGCCCACCACTTGCTACTGTAGAAGACAAGTTAGTGTACAGTAAGAAGAAGTTGTATAGATGATGTCTAAAATGTCATCAAGAATCGCCCTGGTCATTTCATAATGGCTCTCATCTCATTTCCTGAAAGAAATTCAGAATGTGCAAAAATAGAACTTTAAGTTTCTGATGCACAGCATTTTTGACATTACCAAAGTCTCATTCTGTATTTACCGGTGGTTTTGTTTTGGAAACTATTGGTTTTAGTTTTCTCGAAATGATTTACACTTCAGTGCATTATGTGCTAAGAGAGGTCTGAAATAGAGAAGAAGGTTAAGTTGAAGTGTAGAGAAGGTAGTGAATGAAGAAAATTGATTCGTCCACTAATGCAGCTACAAGAACCTAAAATGAATTTCTAAAAATGCGATGAAACCACAGAAATTAACACCAGTAGGCTGCACATATTATATTTCACTACTGCTCATGCAGGTTAGGTGAGAGAAAGAAGTGGTTGCAAGACAAGACTTTCGTTGTTAGGGGAATGGCTGTTCTCTGCCTTAATGTGTTGCTAGTTTTTGAAGGTGCTTCATATATCAGGGTAAGATGACATTGATTTGAAAGCAATACAGTGCATTTCTGAATGAGTTATAAAGTGTATACGTGTTGAATTGTGCTGGCCCAGACAACCTGCTGACTAGACTGTGCTTGAGTTTTATTATTGTTTCTAATTACTGACTACCTGCGCCCTCCTTTTTTTCCTCTTTGAAATGGCTTTGGAATAATAGATGACATACCCCATAATGAAGGGTGGATCTTTCTTGATGTACAGATACTTCAGGGTTTAAATTTTTATTGTACAGCTCCATGTGGGGTAGGAAATCTTACTCTTTAAGAAACCTTAAATAAGATTTTACAGTTATTAAAGTTGGATTTTCCACAATATAAACATACTTTATGATTTAAAATTGTTTATTTTTATGTTCTTTGAGAGATAGAAAAGCTCACTTCAAAGAAACTGCCTATAGAAAATGTAAGTAAGATTTTGGTCGAGGGCCGTGATATAAATGCTAGTATAAAGTCTCTTATTTTTACCTCCGTTGCTCAGGTATGCGGACATGATTTACGCATTTTTTCCCCCAGATATATACAACTAACAAGTGAATCATATAATTCCATTGTTCCAAACTAATTTAATTTGTTGTTGTTTTTACTCTTAATTTCTTTTTGTAAATATTTGTTCATTGATGCCTGTTTACTTTTGACAATGAGAAGCTGTGTTGTTTTTTTATCGCCATTTTGAACTTTTTATGCAGACAGGATTGTATTAGTCCAACATACCTCTGTTTGACATCCTTACAGCTGTTAGATCATCTAAAAATTATTTATCAAAACAATTGGGTTTTTAAAAGAAATTCAGAATTTTGTATCTCAAAATATGATCGATTCCATCGCTTAAAGAGAGGTATAGAAACAAAACATATGTACAAATGTAGAATGTGTTTTTCTTCGACTCTTTCTCTGTCATGACTAGCTGCATGTTCAGGATGATCTGCATTTGGATTCTTCTCTGGTTTGTGATCTTAAGCTGTTTGAGTTTGTGTCTTTGGGTCTTCCCCTTTCTTGTTCAGTCAGTCTAGAACATCTGGCCCAGAGGTGGTGAATCAAAGGCCATGAAGAGTTCCCGAGAAATGACAATAGTCGTGAACTCAGAGACAAAACTCAAGATCTTTTCAACTCTATTTCAACGGCAAAATTAACGAAGTCTGGAATAACGCATGTTGGTCTCACTATCATGACAGTGTTGCTAGATTTCTTACAGGTTGAAGAGAGGGTTTCAATGTTTAAGCAATATTTTCCTTGTGTGATGGCCTGCACAGTGCTTCCAGGTTGTCTTGAATTCTGCCCAGGGCACGCAGTCTTTCTCTGAAGCGTGTTGCCTGTTTCCCCACGCTTTTGCTTTGACTCAGGCAACAAGGTTATGTTTTTGGGTCAGTGTTTGGAAAAAAATTACCACCGTAATGTCAAGTGTGACATTTGTTCTGGTATCAGTGTGCACTATATTTGTTTCTTTCCATAATGATGTTATGGAAGTGTTTTATCTTTTTCCCGGCCTTTCTGTTCTTTTGGGAATGAAAAGTTCAGGTTGGATACTGTTCTGAGAAAAGTTCAAAATTTAGAAACTTCATTCACTAATTTTTATTTACATGTACATAGTGACAAATGATATTAGTATCAGTAACCTTTTTTTCCCCCCGCCCCCAGTCGAATCTTCTTGTTAGTGCTGTACGATTTTGAATTTTTTAAAAATCACAAAGGTTCGAAGCGTGATGTCACTATTCGTGCTATTCGAATACCGTGCGAAGTTTTTTCTTCTACATGTACATGTAGGCTTTAGGCGAGGCCTAATACGGTGAGTCTCTCAGCGGCATTCTTTATTGAATATTCATTATTTATAGTCACAGCACTATTCATCCAGTGATTCTCAGCTCAGTGTGCGCCTGCCTCTTTACCTAGAGCACCCACGGCTTGCTCAGCATGTGCAGTGATGAAACATTGGGTTGTTGGTTTTTTAAAGAACAAAAAGGCCACCTAGGCCTACCCACAAATTGTATAAACCTTTTGGATCTCCCCTCGAGTAGGCTGTGGTGGCTGGCTGATTTTTTGGGGGGGGGGTTTTTTGTGGTCAAAACACGACTGGCTCTAAGTCTTAATCACGCACAACACACCGTGATACGATGACATCACATCACAATGTTCATGAACTTGTGCTTAGAAGGTCGAACTGTACAAGGGGAACTAAGTAAGTCTGTCAGCCTACAATAAACACCCCCCCCCCCCCCCAACATTCGTTGCGCTTCGAATTGTTCTTCGAATGTCACATTATTCAAAGGGAGCTAAGTATGCCAACGTACTAAAAACCATTGGCTGCCATTCAAAGTGGTGGCTGGGTCCCATATTATATCGCCTTGTGCTTTCTAAAGGGAGCTCAATATGCAATGTGCCCAAAATCTTCGGCTGCACATTGAAGTGATGGTCTATTGAGTTATTAATGGCATCACGAGTACTCCTACTGGCTCCTCTTATCACTCTGCCCTGTAATTATCAACTTGAACGTATTGTTGAATTTACCTCAGCGAATTTAGATATTTTATTATGCGGGTTGAGAAAAATTAGAAGAAATCAATTGGTGAAAAAAAATTACTCTGCATTCGAATGGCTCTGCCACACTTCGAATAGCTGTGAATAGCGCAGAAATCATGAATGTCGAATAGTGGTATCGAATGGGCACAGCTCTACTTCTTGTAGCTTACCGAATGCTAATTATGTAATAAATTTTAGTACTTTTTTCATATTTATTATTGAAACATGTCTTTTTTTCCATTCCATCTGTTGAATCCTGTTTTGAAATAGAGATTGATCAATGTTTGCAGTACATTGACAAGTTTTTATGAGAACCCTCACTTTAAGAAGTCGAAGCTGTGCTTTAAATTGATGAATCTATTAATTTATATGTCTCTCATGCTGCAATGTTATGCTTGCATTTGATTATTTATGCCAGTGCAATACTCCCGTGAATTTACTGCATTTAGAAACACCCTCAGGAGAGTCTGATTTTTTTATTGTGTGCATACTAGTGTACTTTTGTGCATGTGTGGAGAGAAATCTGTTTTTTTTCATATTCTCATACAGGACCTATGAATGTATTCCTCTTTCTTATTTGTGTGATTTTTGTAGCATTTTTACAAACATATCTGGGACCAATCAGTTTACCCCATCTCTGTATTTTAGCAGATTGTTTCTGTGTTACTTGTTTCTTTCATAACGGCAAAACAGTTGAGGTGTGCATTCCAGTTTTTATGTCGCCCAGTGTGCACTGACATTGCTAGACGTATCTTTACGACACTACGAGGGGACCTGTCATATATGCAAATCAGTTTTGAGACATACCTTTCTTAATCTTATATCTTTTAACCATGAAGTAGGCTACATTATCTCCAAGTTTGGATGAAATAAAAATCTTGAATTAAAGTACCACATAATGTGAAAAAATAAAATGAGCTCAAGAGGAGTTGTATAATTTGACTGAAATGACAGGTGTTCTCATAGTGTACAAATTGAAAGGAGGTACTTCATTGTTCTCTTGATGTTGTTTTTTTTTTTTAGTGTAGAAAATGGATACATACAACATGCAATAAATTGTAGAATCAAATAACCTTGGCTTTGTTTATAGCTCTGAGATACAACGTTACTTCGCCCTTTTCTGACTTTGTTATAAATGAACAGTATAGTTGGAAAACTGAAACTATATCGACTGCTCAGTGTAAGACTCTGTCATACGTCACTTTCAAAACGGCATAATAATATTAATAATAATAGATAGCATTTGTATAGCGCAAATCCCCGCTCAACAGCAAGCTCTATCTATGTGCTTCACAATCTATACTATTACCCCAGCAGACCTGAAAGCATTCTGAAACAAACTCAACTTCTTTGGAAGCATACAGTGCAAGCAGCCATATACAGGCGCTAAAACACTAACATACTGACAAGATCTTTCTCTGTCTATGGCCGGGTACCTATCCTCACTTTGGTGAAGTAAGGAAAGTTCGGGTAAAGTGCCTTTCCCAAGGAAACAACGTCCCACCCGCGGCTCAAACCCCCGAACCCGCAACCTCACGATTACAAGTCCGGTAGCCTAACCACTAGGCCACCGACACCACGTATGGCGGAGTCTTTCACCAAACAGTCGATATGTATTCACTCTTACTTTTCTTGTTGGGTATATATCTTTTAGATAAATTTCTTTGTTTTATTGGTTTGTTTCATACATATATAAGTCATTTCACTAACTTCTTCACGAAACACCCTGCTGTAATTAACTCTCGTGTTTCAACCTGATACTGGTGTGTGAGATTTACGTTGTCACTGAAGTGGAAACACTAAAGATTTTCATGTGTGTTGACAAAGTTGGAAATACGTCTGTGTAGGCTCAATGGAAAGTTCAGGGGTAGGAAGAAAATCTTACTCTTTAATGTTTTCCTTTGAGTAACATTCCAAATTTGACAATGATTCTTTTCATTGTGGGATATGTTTTTAAAATTTTTTTCTAGTCAAGCTGTTTTTCACCTTCTGACGACCATCAGGCAACTTGATGATTATTTTTTATTCAGTTTATGCTGTTTTGACAATTTTACTAGAGAGCCGTAAAACGAAATGTTGTAACCAAGAAAACAAACTTGTAAGTTGTTGCAAATATAATCTAAAGTCAGTATTTTTAAGAATACAATTTTGATAACTTCCTTTATTTTCTCTTTATAGCAAACGTTCATTACTTGTAACAACATTATTATTGTTTTGGCTTTCCTGTAAAATTGTATAAACTGCATATACTTTACTTTTAAAAATGA